GTGCCGAGCCCAGCCCCCCCACCACCGGCTTTGCCCCGCAGCAGGACAGCGAGGCGGGCGGCGTGCCCCATTCTTCCCTTTCCTAGCTCTACGGCGCCGAGGGCGGCCTGGTGCCGCTCTGGCCTCTCAGTCGCTGGTTCCTCCGGAAGGACGCGCGCCAGGCGCCGGAAGCGGGGGTGAGCCGGGGCGGCGATGGCGGCCGAGGGAGATGTGGAGCTGGAGCTGGAAGCGGAGCCCAATGGGTCGGCGGGCGGCGGGGACGGCGCCGGGGGACGGCCGGCCGAGAAGCCGCGCAAGCACGACAGCGGCGCCGCCGACCTGGAGCGGGTCACGGACTACGCGGAGGAGAAGGAGATCCAGAGCTCCAACCTGGAGACGGTGAGGAGGAGGAAGAGGAGGAGGAGGAGGAAGGAGGGCCCGAGCGGGGAGGGGGCTCCGGGGGAGGGGGCGGCCTTTCATTCCCTCCCCCCACGGGTGGGGGTCTGCCCCACGGACCCCCGGAGCGCCCTGGAGGTGGCAGGAGGCACCGTGAAAGGCTGGTGGCCCAGGCGGAGCCCGAGGACGAAGAGCGGGGGAAACCGTCTTTGCCACAGCCCTGAATTCATTTATGTGTTTCTCCTTCCTTAAAAGGGGCCCAAGGCGGCTCACCCCATTAAAAGGCAAGATGAAGGGGGCGGGAAGGTTCTTTATGGACTTCCTAAATAAGAGTGCTGGTTTATTCTCCCAGTTTCATGGCCATTTCTGCCAGACATCTGCAGGAGCGTACGGTATCCTTCCTTCTGTTATGACAGTGTGGCTTGTTCTTATACACTGTTTCCATTTTGACCATTGACTGTAGTAGATATGTTGGCTCACTACAGGTCATGTTGTGGCCTCTTAAAATGGTAGGCTGGAGTCTTCTTTAGCAGCAGCAAGAAGCCTTATCCTTAGCTTAGACTGCCCTACAGGACCTTAGGAGCATTTTAATGAGCAACTGGCTTACGCTTTCTGAATGTAATGCCCATCGATGGCATGCCTGTCACATCACCCCATCCATACATGTGTCTAAATTGTTCAGAGAATTGTAATGCCTCCTTTTATTTTTCCTCTCTTAGGCCATGTCTGTAATAGGAGACCGAAGATCCAGAGAGCAGAAAGCAAAGCAGGAGCGGTGAGCCTTTGCTTGTTTTATCCTTTTTCCTCAGCCTTGTTCGCAACCGTTTCTTTGTGATCAGCTGCTGCCTAACTTGTGTTGAAGAGTTTTTCTTATGGGAGAGCTGCATGTTTGCGGTTTTGCAGGAGTCTGCCTGGGTGTCTTCAGCACCTCTTTTGTTGTTGGCTCAGCTTTCTTGTTTGGAGATTTGCTTTGCCACATTTAAGGCTAGTTCATTGTTTGACAGTTTCAGGCCAAAAACAAAACAAAACAAAAAAAAGGCTCCTTGCATTGCAGAAGACCAGACAGCGCAGAGACTGGTGGCTCCAACTGTTTTTAGCAGGCACAAAACTGGAGCAAGGACTTGCAGGGATGGGCAGCAGTGGCCCTCGGTACCCACCATGCTCTGTGGCTTCATTCAAGTTCATCCTTACCATTGAAGTTGTATTCCTCTTGTTTGCATCCACTTTCACACAATGTAGGAGAACTACTACACTGGCAGCTGACATTTGGTAGCATTTCCTCTGCAACACACCCCCCCCCCCAAATTGGCAGAGGATCCAGTGTGACACTGGGAAGCTGTCTTCTCCACCTGGTGTGCTTTGAAAGGGGAGGAGTGCCACCAAAGATTGTATTACTCCACTGGAGCCAGAGAAAATCCTGAACCCTTTTTCTTTTTCTCTGTTTTAGGGAAAAAGAACTGGCTAAAGTCACCATCAAAAAGGAAGATTTGGAATTGATTGTGAGTTCAATACCGAGCGATGCTATCACAGTCTGTGGCTCGAAGGGGCAGAAACCCCTTTGGTATCCAAGTTCACTTCCCCATTTTTCCTTTTCCCTACAGATGAACGAGATGGAAATATCAAGAGCAGCAGCAGAACGCAGCTTGCGAGAACACATGGGGAATGTGGTGGAGGCCTTGATCACTCTCACCAACTGAGGGCAAGTTACTGGATAAGCATCCATGGTGGATGAGAAAGAAGCAACCCCCTAGCTGGTTTTCCGTATGTAGAGTGCAGTATGCTGCATCTCAAAAGGTATTTGTAATAAATATGCCATGCTGGAACCTGTTGTTGGTGTGGTGTATAGGACTGGCTGAGTTGCACCTATCCTGTGACTGTTTTTCCTCAACTCACCAAGAGACTGGTAGTCTAAAAGCGACATCCGTTTTCTGTAGAAGTGTCTCCTAAGTGCTGTCCCTTTTGCACCATGGGGAAGGCTGTCTCTGTTCTGTATTAGCATTTACACACTCTGATCCAAACCATGTTGTGTGTTGCCTTCACAGGGAGGAAAAATCAATCTCATTCTAGCAGTCAGATTTTTCTCAAACTTTGAGTCACTGCTAATTCTGTTTTCTGCTAGTATAGAATAGTGAATTCTGCTGCTAAACTTTTATGACCAAGTTATGTCAAATTATTCTACAGCACAAAGCCTAAGGCACTTTAAGACTCTGCTTGCAGGGAGTCCATTATAACCTACAAAATGTGAGCAAATTTCCTGGGCCCAGTCTGATCTCTTTTCTTCCCAGGACTTCTCTATGACACACCTTTGGTCACTGGAACTCCTTGCTCCTTTCAAGAGGCAAAATTTATGCCAATGAAATCTATATGTGTTTTCTTGTGTGGCCAGATGGGGAAGCCCAGTCTAACCCTCTGGACTCTTGGAAAGCCTTTCCAAGCAACAGAGGCATTCCAAATGATGGGTTCCTCAGGGGACAAACATCCTGCTCTGATACAGTTAGAACAACAGTTCTGCCACAGCTGAGTGTTAGAAGCCCTAGAAGATTCTCCCATTTCAAGGACCATAGCAGCAGCAGTTCATTAAGAAATACGTTTAATAAGTTTTCTTCCGTCCCATCCCTTAACTGCAGCTCTATAAAAAGACAGAAGATGTGAAGGTGAACTTGGGGGATTTACCAAGAAAGCCTGCTAAATCAAGTGCCAGCTCCTCAGCAGTGAGCAAGCTGAAAAGGCAGGCTAGGGCTCCACAAGAGGGAGTGATCTGAGTCCAAGTCTATGGGAATATTCTGTAGTCCCAAAGCACAATAGCAGGGAACAGCTATTGGCCTCTGTCACGTTCCCACTCAGGTAACCTTCCGCTTCTTGGCAGAGGGTCTCTCAAAGACATCCCGCACTCCTGCTGCCTTCTGCTTGAAGAACTTGGTGTTCTGAGCACTCTCTTGGCCCCAAGCAGAATCAAAAGAAGTTGTATCCTGGTCCACCAAGTGTGTGTACTTGGTTCGTCCAGAGCGCCCAAAGTTCTTTACCTGGAGATGGAAAGAGCATTCAGTGTAGACAAGACTTTGAGCAGGGGCCTCTGAATCACTACTGGACCACCCCAACCCCCAGCACCCCTCCAGCTTGGGAGGGCCTCTATATGCCCATGGTTGTGGCTCCCAACCTGAGCGCTGAGGCGCCACCTCCGTAGAGGACCCTCCCTGCCATACCTGCATGACTTTGGGCAAGATTGTCTTGTTGAAATGATCTTCCAGAGTTGGAGCACTGAAATCCCTCTTGTACACCTCTTCATCTTCATCCTGGGAAGGGAAGAGCAAAGGTGGGGGTAGGTTGGCTTGATCACAGCAACTTCAGTGACATGTGGCAGAGTCACACTGAATGCGGCCCACAAGCATCCACAGAACCAACAGCAGACAGCCCCCCCCCAGCACAACTCACACATGTTTCTTCTACTCCCAGTTCCAGTTCCAGGCCACATTCAGAGCCACCGCTCACCATGAAGAAAGCTCCCCGGTGGTAGTACTTCTGCAGGAATTTGTATTTGCCCTTCACAGCCTTGTTGGTGATGACTTTGCCATTGGCCCGCAGCTCAGCACGGCGTTCTTCCTCAGTCAGGTTTCGCATCCGCTCAATTTCTGCTTTCTCCTTCTCCATTCTGTGGGAAACAGAAAGCCCCTTCAGCCCCCCAAACAGATCTGCTCTGCCCAGGAGATCTCGTTCCGGAAATCCCTTTCAGTGGGGCCGATCTGCTGCAACACCGATTGGTGGCAGACTGAACTTGAGACGCCAGCTGCGTATCTGTTTTCTCTAGCCGCTTGCCACTGTCGTTTACAGGACAGAGCTTCAAAGGAAAAGAATTGAGTATCAAGCAGGGGTCTTAATCTGCATCAGGTGCAGCTACACTTACGCTTCGCGCTCCTCGCGATCCCGCTTGATGCGCTTCAGCTCCCGCACTTTCCAAGCTTCGTACTCTTCTTCATCGTTCTCATCGTCTGTATCCAGGGCATCGAGAGCTGCCAATGAACGGCGGTTCTCTTCCAGCTCCTTTTTCGCTTCTTCTTCTACAATCTACGGTACATCAACAGATATTGAGTCCCCTGCGACGCAGCTGCCTTCCTGACCTCTCACATGCATTTGTTCCCCTTTTCCCCCATACCTTAAGGGTGTACTTCCGCCTCTCCTCAGCCAGCCGCTTGGCTTCCTGCTCCAGTTCCTTCTGCTTCACTGCCTCTGCCTCTCTTTCCTGAACTGTGATCCGATCCTTCCTGTAACAGAGTTTTGCAATAAGTGCGGAACAATCTCTTGGGTCCAATCTTTTCCTGAAAGATACCTGCTTTATTCTCTAAAGCTGGTACCCACACCCTACAAACCCCAGAAGAAAACCCAGAAGTAGAATAGCTTGCTTGTGATACCAAACCAAGCCAGAAATAACTGCTAGGACAGAATCTTGGCTGCCTGCAATCACAAAACCATCTGGTCTTTCGGAGACTGGCTTCCTCAGTTTCCGGCTGCCCCCAGCACTGGTAATACTTGCTTGCGAATAAAGACAGGTTTGAGGCGGGGCTCCGTCTCATCCTCGCTATCTGTGTATTCCTCATATTCAGACTCTGATTCAGACTCCTCTCCAGAGCGGCCCTCATCTTCCAGCTCCATCACTTCCAGCTCTTCATTCTTACGTTCTTGAGCACGCTGGCGCATCATGTTCCGGCGACGCTCAATTTCCTGCCAAGAAAATGGAAACAAAGACAATCCCAGTGTGGACTTTGTTTTATATCTCCAACAAAACCAGAAACAAACACCATTCACTGGCAGGCTGATCCTATAATGTAGCAGGGCTTCTTTCTGAGTGAGGCATTACAGGAGGCCCAGACTGAATCCTGGGCATCTACAGACAGGCATGGTACGATGCCTTGAAACCCTGGAGAGTTGGTGACTGAGAAAAACCCACATTGCACCGGCAGACTAGGGAAATGCTCAGCTTCTGAAGCTACTAGAATTACTCTTAATCCTCAGCATCTGCAGACACGTCCAAAGATTCAATCTAAGCATGGACTGGGTAGCTGCTTGTGAGTCAGTAGGGCTCTCCAGTCTTGCCCGTACCTCGTCATCAACCTCCTCCTCCTCTTCTTCACTGGTGTCCTCTCGCTCCACATGCCAGGCTTCTCCCTCGACTTCAGAGTCGCTCTCCCCCATCACTTCTGGTTCCACGATCTTGCGGTGCCTTGCCAGCCTAGAACGCAAACACCCACTTCTCAAGTAGAGAAAGAGACGCACCTGGCTGGCCAGGTGGCACCCTATACCCCAGGCTCTCCGAGCACCACATTCTCCCGCCAAGCAGGATCGCTGCGCACTCCCACCCGCAGCTACCAGGTAGGAGCCTCTGGCAGGCCCTTGACCGAATCCCACCTCTCCTCCACATCCTCCGAGATGCGGTTCTGGAGGCGGCGCAGGCGGGGGTCGCTGGCCAGCTCCTCCTCCTGCTCCTCGGGCTCCAGCTCCTGCTCCTTGGCCTTCTTGATGAACTGGAACTCTTCGTCCTCCTCGTCCGAGGACTCCATGGGCGCGTAGTCCGGCCGCTTGCCCGAGACATAGCGCTTCACCTTCACCTTCTCCATCGAGATCTCCCCTGCGGGGGCACAGAGGGGCCGGTCAGGGAGGCGCCGGCCGGCTCCTCCTCCTGCTCCTCGGGCTCCAGCTCCTGCTCCTTGGCCTTCTTGATGAACTGGAACTCTTCGTCCTCCTCGTCCGAGGACTCCATGGGCGCGTAGTCCGGCCGCTTGCCCGAGACATAGCGCTTCACCTTCACCTTCTCCATCGAGATCTCCCCTGCGGGGGCACAGAGGGGCCGGTCAGGGAGGCGCCGGCCGGGAGGGGGGC